AACGATGGGACTGATTACCGCCTGTGATGGGCTGGGGAATAAGACGAGAGCTTGGCGAGAGTGTGAAAGTCCGAGCTGAAACGCCAATGCGGCCGATCGTTGACAATCGTTCTTATGCATTAAATACACCAATGAATCCATGGGCAGAATCACTTGGCTTCAGTGAATTTACATGATATAATTTGTAGTAAAAAAGTAAAACTGTGTAATTATCCAGATGAAAATGAGTGACTTATTAAAAAGACCAATTCATTGTAGGTTTGTTTTGCTTATGATCTCCCTTAAAATTCCCACCCTAATTAATATTCATGATTAAATGAATAAATTAGGCCACCTCCATATAAAGACCACCTGTCTATAAAGGACAGTTTGGCTCAGTCCACTGACTGTCCTTTATAGACAGGTTTGACTGTAGTTCTGATTTTATAATGTATACGATATGTAATTGGTACCCAGTGCAGTGATTTTAGAAGTGGACTGACATGATCCGATTTCTTTGATTTACAAATTAACCGGGCAGCTGCGTTTTGAACACGTTGCAGTTTGTTTGTGATAGTGAGAGGACAGCCGGCCAGTAGACTATTACAATAATCTAGATGAGAGAGTACAAATGCACCGATTAGAGTCTTGGTAGCATCAGGGGTCAAATAATGGCGAATCAAACTTATCTGTCTTAGCTGAATGTATGCCGCCTTATATACATTTCCGACATGTTGTGAAATCAGCCAGGTCAGACAGGAGCACCTGCAACAAAAGATTTCCAAAGCTTCTGTTGATGTACATATAGTTTATGAACATTTATTTGACCTGTCCTATATAAAGTCATTGAACAAAGTAGGATAACAACAAATATATTTCAAGATAAAATTTGTCACATTTATTTAAAACTGTCAATTGTTAAAATATATAATGTATCATCTTTTTTGTCCAGTGGTTGAATGATCAGAGGCTTATACAACGTTTAGTTGGCTCAATAGACCCTACACACGATGAAGAAAAGCACAGTAATGCTTCGCTTACATTATGTGAGCTAATACGACTTGGTAGGGAACACATGTCTCAACTACAGGAAAGTGCAGATGATGATCCGTTACTTACCACCATGGAACAGTAAGCTTTACTAAAATTACTTATATATTGTGCTTCAGTGTTTGCAATGGTTGCTATGCCCTAGGATTTACGGTAACCTTTCAGGAACTTGACCTTTGTGAATGTTCTTCCTAAAATGAACAAATTATAAACATGTATTTATGGAGCCATTGTAAGACAAATGGACTTATTGTGGATATACATGCATGCATGTCCTGCTGAATGCTGACAAATAATGTTAGCAATAATGATGATTAGCCAAAGTTACATGCTTGGTTTTGTGAAAGAGACTTAAAGAAAAGTAAACCTAGCCACATTCATGATTGTGTAGTTACCATGAATTAGTATGAATACTTCAGAGGATTTTTATTTTTCTTGCACCCGTGTGAATGAGAAAGCCTCCTGGAAAAACATGTGGGGAGTTTTCGTGGAGATGAGAATCACCTTACAAACACGCAAAAAACACAAGCACCATAGGTTTTGAGTGACGTTAATTCCCATGATTGTTATGAACGAGTTCAGTCTTGGGCTATTCAACAATTGGGAACAGTGTATGTAGTTCCAGTGAAGCACATCAAAATTAATATCCAGGAACTGTGACTCAAGCCGCCATACAGCAAGGTTTGAAGCTACAAGTATTTTATTCTGTGTGTTTCTCTGGGAAAGTTGATTCTAAACACTGTTCAAAATATTGCTACATATCGGATCAATTGAACTGTGACTGTGAACTGTATTACTGCGACATTATGTGGGGCGTAGTGGCCAGAAAAAATGACAGAGAAACTGAACTTTGTAAACAACCAACACAAAGTCTGATAAAATGTAACAGTGTCATGATTGCAGCCTTTAGTTATTGGTTTAGCCCCGAAGTTTGAGCTTGATTACATATTTACATGTATACATCTATGAAGGGCTTATTTGTCAACAAAATTATTTATACGTATGTGAAAATGGTGGACAGAAGCTCTGAGAAAATATAATTTGCAAAACTCTTGCGAAAGTGAAAGTACACAATGTTTTTTATTCAGTTTTTAGAGGTCATGTAAACATTCAAGTCTGGAGACTAGATAGTTTTTGCCAGGTTACTAGTTTTCACTATAAATACTATGATGTTTTACTCTGCAGGCAGGAAACTGTGTCTGAACTGATGAATCATATGTTACATGAAGAGAAGTCTGAATCTGCTTTAGCTAATGGAATTGCTGTGTTACTGGCACTCACAGAGTTCAAGAAGAATGGGTAAGCTTACAGAAATGAGCGTAATGCTACAACAACTGACTGTCTCTCTCTTTTGCTTGAAATGGCTTTTTTCTTAGAGTGCTATTCCTAATATTCTTTGGGGAAACACTTCAGTTGTAACATGTGAATAGCATGTGAATTTTCTTGAAAATATTGATATCGAACACAATGAATTTGTTGTACCATCTTTAGTTGCAGTACAGCCAGGTGTAACATCACTTCTATGTTTGCTATCAGCTTACTATGCCATTTTAGCTCCGCTGTCATCAGGCAGAACTGATGTCCCATCCCTAGTTACTTTGCCCAATGTTCATATCTTTAAAAACTTAACTGGTCACAATATTATTGTTGTCCTGTCCCTAATTGAGATGTCCAATGTTTTGCTGATCACAATATTATTGTTGTTCTGTCCATAGTTGCGATGTCCATTGTTCATATCTTTAAAAGCTTAGCTGGTCACAATATTATTGTTGTTCTGTCCATAGTTAATTTGTCCAATGTTTATATCTTTAAAAACTTAGCTGGTCACAATATTATTGTTGTCCTGTCCTTAGTTGCAATGTTCACATCTTTAAAAGTTCAGCTGTTTTATCTCAATGTGTAGGTGGATGTCCTTCCTTTTTAGACTTGATGGTCAAGAACAGTTAACAGCCCTGGATGCTGAACGGCTGGCTAAAGGTGTTAGTAGCGCTCTACAAGGTGTAACTCCTAAATTGAGAGATTTGCATCAGCTTCTCACAGACCCCCCAAAGGTAAGCTAACCTCAGGCACATTTGTCACTTAAGTTGTTCACAATTGTTGGGTT